AACAGGTGCAGGTCTTCCGGAATCCACGAGGGATATTGTTTGTCGCAGCAGAGGTCAGCTGGCCTTCGACTTCGGCAGTGTACGATGACCAGTTTGCTTCTCGAAAGTTCCAGTGAGGTAGTGGAGCAGACCGAATTAGCGGTACCTGCAGACCGATTCGGAGCACAACAGGGCGGTGCTGGCTTTTGGAAAGAATCCAAGCACTGTCCTGGAAGCAGGAAGTGGAATGCTGCCGCTGCCTTTGGAGACGAAGCAAAGGTCCGGGTTACGGTCAGTCTTCCATATTGCTGATCAGAAGGTACCTTGCTGTTTAGCATTGTGGCACAAGTGTACACTTGCTGCTGATGCCCATTCGGTTAGTTATTCACCTGCCGCATTGTTCACGGTGTAACCCCATGAAGTATGGTGTCTGTTAAAATCGCCTGTATAAACAGTTGGGTGAGGCATCGTTGGTTCCGGGACGCTTATATATGTTCATTATAGCGGTTTCTCCGACAGTCACTGTAGTGTATTCAGAACCATTTAGTTCGCCTGTGTTCGCCAATCCGATTTTCACTGCTGTTTACCACTACAACATCCTTGAGGTTTAATCTGGCTTATGTAGCTAGACCGTGTTTGGGGGCACAGGTATCAGCGACCATACTGAATCCAGCAATTGATTCGGCTGCTTTGCAATCATCTTCGATGTGCATCCCTTGCAGAATGGCGATGTCAGTCTCGTATTTTTGACGTCTTTGATGGATATTCGCATTTTGCGTAGGAGATGCCTTCGACGTTCAGCTGAAATATGCTGAACGTGAGGCTCGCGGCTTCACTTCTTTGGCCTTCATAAAGACCGTTGGGTTTCTTTGGTGTTCTTCTTCTACGGCCCTTATAAGGTCCGTTTGGTTTATTTGACTTCTTCTGTTGTTCTTCTGTGTCCTCATGAGGGCTATTGGGTTTATTTTGTACTGGATTACCTGTTTGGCTTTTAAAAAAAACCTTTAGGGTTGTTGCTAGTCGAGCCGAGAGATTGCTTTCACAGCGTTCGGTTGCCAGGTGACGACATTCGTTGTATTGTTAAGTTTTGGCGTATTTTTGCAATACGCAACAGGAACACCGCGTGTAGGAGTTCGTCTTGTTTCCAACTCTAACAGCTAATCACCACCAATGGTGACGATCAAACGATACAACCGTTATATTGTAACGGTCACATTGTAAAAAGCAAATTTTCTGTTGTATTCTGAACTGAACATCAGGGTAATGTAATGAGTAATTTGATTTGGCTGCAGCGCATAAGGAGGCCAAATACAGATGTTATACATTGTTTTGACCATCCGCACCACGGCACCGTTTTGCTTATGGCTTTTTAGATCAGTAGATTTAAACGTCGGCGATAACAAAAATTTCCATAATACCTCAAACCAGTTACACTGCGAAATTCAGCATCAAAAATGATGAGGGACCTCTTATAAACATTCCATTTGTATCGAATAAACGCGTGCTAGTTTTCAGGCCATTTAATGTCATGTCAGCTCTACCGAGATCCTCTCATCTTGTTAGTTGGAGGTCTTCCTGGGTTGCAAATGGCACCAGGCTCTGTGTTCAACATATTTTTACTATTGCGGATTTGCTGGCAATGGCTCCACCGGTTTAAACATCCTGTTCGCAACCGGTTGGTCGTTTTAACTAGATATTCTGATCACTCTACAGTAGCATATGGCATCAAGTCGGACCGCTTCACACCGAATACTGGTCTGAAAATCTTCATTTCCATTGCTTCCAGTTTTCTGCTTTTATGTCTTTTTAAGTGCTGTCGTCCCAAAGTCACTAAACGACATGTTCAGAATGCAAGCTATGTGTATTTGGAGTTTGTACAATTTCTACCATCTTTTCCCTTCCAAAGCCTAACTGGCTTGTTCCTCGCTATCAGTACCAACGCAACGCACAGCGCTTCTTAACTCTTTTCCCACACGTCCGCCTGCAGCCACTGCACTCTCTATATGCAGACGTACTGGTGGCACTCACAACTTCGGGTTTCATGGCAGAGACAGACGTTGGTTAGGGTTTTACCAGTTGCTGTCAACTTCGTCTTCTTTAAGTTAGAAAGAGAACTAGATGAGAACATCTCTGTTTCAGAGTTGTGAACAGTATTGTCACAGTTTCGAAGCTGACTCTTATTAGTACGGTAGCATCCTCAAATACAACAGAGTTCACACGAAGATTGCTCACTCTTGCCACAGTACTGGTTCATTCCTTTTCATTGACTGAAGCTGGAGTATCCAGTCAAGAATCATCGCAAATAGCAGAAAAGATTGCAACTTCCTTGTCCTTCGTCTAAACTTTGCATAACACAATTTGCTGAAAGTGCCATCAGTCAATACTGCGCTGAACGAAAGATGATACGTCTTGTATGTATGCGAGCAATCTTTAATGGAATTACACATTATTCACCAACTTTCCATAAGTCACCTCTACAGATTAAGTCAAAGTTGTAATGAAATCGACAAACATTGTGAAGAATTTTGATCCATATTCCTTCTTTGTTTCCACTGGAGGTTTTTCTATGCATATCTGGTTCAAACAGTATCTTCTGGTCTCTAAACCGTACTGTTCTTCATCAGAGATCTTCCCGAAAATCTGCACGCTCTTGTCCGCCATAACACGCATGACACTTTCGCAGGAATGCGTGGTAAGCTTACTCAGCGGAATCTGCTTGGATCTATGCAACAGACATTCTTCAGTTTTGCAACGGCTCTATCTTTCGTCAAGTCATTCGGCATCTCTTTTTTCTGTCATAACAGTTCTAAGGGATTTAATAATGCCAGTGCTCCATCGGTTCTTGACCTTATAATTGACTCCTGTTATGTTCCATTAATTCCTGTGGGCGCTGCCATTTTGAAATTGGCTTAAGGTTTCATTCACTTATTTCGGTGTCAGCAGTCCAACTCGGCGTCCATCTTTTGTTCAGGCACATTGCCATACAATGAATTTTTTACAATCGTATCAGAGTTGAGTTGCGATTCAAATGTTCTCTCCGTATCTGTGCCACTTCTGTAGGATCGGGCGTTTGATTATCATCATAGCATGCTTTGTTGAAATATTGATGAAATTTCCTGAGAAAATTTTTCATTTCATTTTCTTTGAGCCATGTCTTTCATTATTACACTCTGCCTTGTTCGAAACAGTTTTACTTTTGGCTATTGATTAAAATTTCTTTCTCGAATTTTGTTCAGTCTTGGTAAGCTTGCTCTTTTCTTGCCGCCCTTTAGCTTCCACAATTATTCACAGTTTCCTTCGTCTTTTCTTCCGTCCCAATTGCTCCCCTTCAGTTATCATTTCTGTTTCTTTGTACATATTTTATGCCTTCTACATAGAGATATTAACCGTATGATTATGTGTTTATTCTTCATGCGTGGCGATCCTTTGACCTGTGGAAGAATCGGGTTGATAAAAACCAGAGGTTGGCCAGTTTTTCCCGTATTCCACTGTTGTCCGTAGAAAACGAAGCAACCTATCAAAGGTGGCCTCAGCCATCGAAGCTGATTCGTTTTCGGTGCACCACCAGGAATAAACAATCAGCGCTCATGTTCTGGTTTTCCGCCTCAACGCGACTAGGAACGAACCCGTTGTGGCTAACATCTAGTTAGCCAACTTGTGGACGGCCAGGAAGTAGGAGTCCAATCATGAGGGCCTTTAACACTGGCGAACAGTGGAAAGGGTTATCTCTGCGTACAAATATATTGGATGACTAAGTGTGTATCTGTGTATGTACCTCTGTAATAAACTGTTTTGATTCATGGTCCAATCGAATGTGACCCCTGTACAGTCAATAAGAGTTTGAAGTTTCGTCTGATAGTTGCCTGAAATGCTTGGGGTACTTCTGAACATTTAGGCACATCAAAATTTATGGTACATTTTTGGCTGCTAATCAAAAACCAGAACCTGGCTTTAACTTTAGCCATCATCAATTTATGGTCGCTACTGCAAGCAACAGTTTTGCATGCCCTGAAATCTTCTAGACACGCTCGATGAATTCTTTTTATGAGAACATGATCAATCCAATTTCCCATTGACGTAGCAGAGGAGTACCATGTGACCCTATGCACTGATTTTCGAGGAGATCATGTGTCGCCAATTATTTGATCGTGCAATCCACACAGTTTTGCTGGTCATTCATTGTTATTGTTCATCTCCTCAATCCGTTTGAGTCCAGGCATTTATGCCGCTCACCTTTTGTTCCAACTTTCGCATTGTTCCAATCATCCATAACGATTAAGATATCGTGGGTCTGACACTGATGCAGCAGTAGATTCATCGTGGCGTAAATTCATCGCAGGCAATACCGTCTCTACAGCAGCTTCGACAAGGGCATTATCGCCAACTACCATCAGGCGAAGTCCTTTGTACCTTACTTGAATCTCGCCTTAACGATTCAGTCAGACACTACGCTCCCAGTGTACAGAGGCTCCTTTCCGATTTATAATGACTGCAAACGCAAGAGTGCGTTTTTGAGCAGATCTTCTGTTATATTATTCATGTTCCCCGCGCGGTAGAAACCACTGTTTTCATCGCAAGCCGTTCCCTCTATTCCAGTACGCCCCTTGTATTGCAACTACTGTATTCATTTCTAGTTCAGTACTTCTGCATCCCACGTGGTTCGTTCAGGTCTGTTTAACGTTGCATTTTGCAAACTGTGTCCTGCGGTTAGCCGTACAACGTATTCCTCTATGCTCTATACATTTTTTCAGTTCTATATTCATAACCGTTGTGACTGCCTGGTCCATATGACATAGTCTGTACGATTTTTGTAATCAGGGACAGATCCACTGAGGGTGTGATTGGTCTGAAACAGCTACACCAGAACCTCGTTAGCCGTCCATTTTAAGGTTTATGGTAAGCGCTCGCAGCAACCGCAGCCGTTGGGGAGTGGGCAGAATGCACTCCACCATTCTTCAGCCAGTTAGCCATTCATTTACTTTAATCGTTGCCTGGTCGTCAAGATTTGCGTTGGAGTTTGGACTTTGAGGATCACGATGCATACATATTCAGGAATGACTGTTTCACTTGACAATGATCGAGTAACCTTCGTGTGCTTCAGTTGAAATTGTAAGTTACAGAAGAATGTCTGGTGAATAGATTTGTTGACGGTAATGAGGCACTCTATAATGCGGTCTAGGTTTGAATAACGGGATCATTCGTAGGCTGTCTTGTCAAATTAAATTCAAAGGATGCTGTACGTAGTTATGCGTCGTTTTTATTCTTCGTTAGAACTTATCTG